AGACACTTATGCGAATTTATATTATCTAAAGTTCTAGAACAGTAGTGGCCAATCTGCGGTTCGCGAGCCGCATGCGGCGCTTGCTCCGATTACATGCAGCTCTTTTTGCCATGATTATTTGAAGAAAAATAGATTTGTCAATTATTACGTCAAATTCAATTTTTTTGTTGTCGAGCTGTCGTAAATCATATCGGAAACATGTTTGGCTGCAAACGCGGATTTTACCATCTGATTGAAGTAATTGAAGTGCAAATAAAACGTCACAGATTACGTCGTCGACGACTTGTATCATTTTAAGCCAGATTGTTTGAAATTTCCTCCACTTATTTAGTCTCAGGCCCCAACCTGAGTTTAAGATGATTGTTTTTTACGAGGAATACAAACTGGAACGCACTTGAAGGGACGGAAAGGCAAATTTAGTTATGGTGAGGTATACCAATGGAAAATACCCCAGGTTAAACGAACTGAGCTTAGGATATTGGTAATGTTTGGGTCAACATACGTCTCCGAATCTTCTAACCTAAAACACGCGAAATCAAAGCTTTGATCTGTTCTGACTGACACCCATGTGAAACAACTGCTTCGATTAGCCAGAACGACATACAGGCCAGATTGAAAAAAGATTGTTCATTCCAAAGAATGCCAGAAGACACACTAAGCTAAGTAGCATGCGTAACAATAAATGGTTTGTAAATTTCTGTCATACTCATGCTGTTTCATTACATTTACAATAAACTAGCATTCTAGCTGAGCTGTTTAAAGGTAGATCTGAAGTTAATGTGTGTTCTTGTTCATAATGTGGCTCTTCGCGTTAATAAATAATCCCTGTTCCAAAAGAGTGCTGTTCATTGTGATCACACTTTTAATTAAGAGAACATTTCATACTTGAAAAATTAGCAATTATGATTTCAGCATCAAAATTGTTTTAGTACCTAATAATTTGTCGGTCATTGCAGTTTTATGCCCCAGGGTTAAATAAAAGTTGAGCTGGTGTCTTACTACTCAATAAAATATTGCGCGATATATTATTCGGAATTTGCCCTAACAGGTAGCAGAGCTCTGGCGATTTATTTATTTTGTCCATGAGTGAGTTTTTGTAAATTGAATGACATCGCAATGCGAAATTTCAGGTGATAAAGTGATGAGTTTAAAATATCAAATGTAATGAATTACGAGTTGATTTGGATATTTGATTCGTTTCGGACGTCAAAATTAGTTTCCCGATAGGAAGAAGCCAGGTTGGATTGACACTTGGAAGATGCACTTTCTAGTCTTGGCGGAAATCGCCTAACCTCGGTGGTTAGTTGTTTCCGAGCTATTTCAATCAGTTAACTCGAGTTAATTTAAGTCATCGATAAATCATCATTCGTGACTTCACAGCGCTGCTGTTTTCACGTTGCATATTTGACATAAGCTTCACTTTTAACATGAATTTCAAAGGGTGGTTTATTCACCACTTATAGAAGAGATGTAGAAAAATCACTGTCTTTGATGATACATGCACAATTGCTGTTAGTTTTGGCACACGTTTCAAACAAATTTCATTTTTTATTGAATAAAACATGTTCACCTGGTAGAAAGATAACAATACATTTTCCAGGGCTTTCGGTGGAGCGGTAATATTTGGAGAGTAGTAATATTAGGTTGAATTCACGGGAAATGGTTGGATGCCAGGGTTATGCTAGGTTAAAACGGCAAAAGTTTCAAACGTTCATTTCCTGAAATCAAACAGGTCAAAAAAGTTGAAAAACAAGTTAAACAAGTTATAATATTATTTATATCGAATACTCACAGTTGCATCAGAAATATCAGTGACTTTTGTTGTGTTTTGTAACGTGGCTTTGTCATTGCTATTTTGTTTGCCGTCTATATAACATTATGTAAAGCAAATTAACAGTGAATATATCAGTCAAGGAACCGATTATGATGTTAACAAAAGCACTTTGTAGTTTTTCCTGAAAATCGAGAAAACACACATGATAATACAACAAAATACCGCGATTCAAGGAATTATAACATTTCGAGCCCTGGCTATGATTACAATTTTAATCAAAGTACTTTCTACAGTTCTCTTAAAACAGAGATAATACACATACACCCTCGTAAAATTATTGTAATTCGGGGATACAAAGCATGCTGAATTTCATCTCTGCTTGAAATTCCAATCATATTTTTTCCCCCATATTTAGGATTTAAAATATCGAATATAATCAGTTACGATTTGATTTGGATATTTGATTCGTTTTGGACATCAGAACTAGTTGGCAGATGGGAAGAAGCTTTCCAGTCTTGGCGGAAATCCCCGAACCTCGTCGCGTCAATCAATGTGTTGAGTCTCATCGGTGGTTAGTTGCGTCCGAGTTATTTCATTCAGGTGACTCAACTCAGGTTATTGATGAATCGTCATTCTAGCTTTCACAGTGGTGTTATTTTCACGTTGCGATATTTCACATGAGCGTTACTGTTGAAATAAATTTTAGGGAGAGGGTATTCACCACTTATAGAGGGGAAATGACGACACATAAACAATTGCTGTTGAATTTAGCCGACATTTCCGACGAATTTTATTTTATAATATAATAAAACATGTTCAACTTGTAGAAAGATAACCAAAGAACATTTTCTAACAGGAACCGAAGAACATTTTCAGGAAACACAGTTTTGGGTCGCGAACCAAAAATTGGGGAACACTGTCCTAGGGTGCCGCGGAATAATGCTTTAAACCCGCTTGTCTATGCAAACAAACCTAAAAATTATACATAGATACGTTGGCTACGTATAATAAACAACAAATCCGGAATCTGAGTCTTTCTTTCATTTTTCTTTTTTTCTGCCCTCAATTTCATTCTGTAGCAATTTTTGAAAGATGTTCTGATTTATCTACAACCCCAGAAGCAACATCTTTCAAAAATTGCGACAGAATGAAATTGAGGGTAGGAAAGAAAAATGAACGCAGGTCAGTCAGTCAGTTCCATGGCAAGTTTACTGAAAGGTTGCAAATGGGGTCGGTACTTTAGTTCAAGACAATTTCTTCCAAGCAAGATTACGTAGATTCACTATGAATTAGCGAAAACTCATCTTTGAGAAACGCCACGCGCATTCACTCAGAAGTAGAGTAGGCTTCAGAGAAAGAATTAAGATGATACATTTCGTGCAATCATCCAGAAGTACGGGAAAATCATCTCTGAGCATGGTTATGGGCGACTACTGAAATTCAAGGGCTGCAGCAACTACGTGAAATTATGGGAATCAGGAGTAAAAGAGAAATGTTACAGGCGACCACTAAAGTGCCAAGAGCTTCTCAAAGCAAAAACAATATAGTATTAAAATAATGCGTTATGCGCACTCACTTGAAAGTAAAGGAGACTCGTCTCAGAGTAAATTTACAGGCACTCACTCAAAAGTGATTGAGACTTGTTTCTGAGAAAAGTTACGGACACTCACTCAGAAGTGAAGGACACTCATCTCTGGAAAAAGTTACGGGCACTCACTCAGAAGTAAATGAAACTCATCTCTGAGAAATGTTACAGGCACTCACTCAGACACTCAGAAGTGAAGGAGTCTCATTGGTAAAGTTACGGGCACTCTGATGGCGTTTTGATAAAATTCCAATTGTGAAGCGCGGACTCTGCCCACATATGGTCTTCGGATATGGTACTCTTCTCTTTACTTTCTTCGGCCGGTCCTTTTAACACCTGACGAGAATACAAATACAGACTGATGCATAGCTTAAAAACATAAAATTGTAAATATAAACTTACTTGAAGTTGTGCCCTCAAGGACCGTCAAGCAGTGACTTGAACTTTAAATCACAATAACTTGACTGAATCATGCATATCATTGCCCATAGATTTCTTCTGAGAGAGAAACCTATTATTACAGAATTGAATAAAGATGACTTGAATGTAGAATGGAAGTTGGCCAGCTGGATCCACACTAACACCCTCAAAGATTTCAACAAGGTGCGAGATGACAGCAAAAAATTGTTTTGCATGATTGACCTCATGGGGATGACAAAGGAATAAATACGTTTTATTTATTCTGTCAGCCGTTGCTACGGACAGGTGAGAATATGTTTTCATTATTGTTGTTTCGTGAAACTAATGTAGGCTACTTTATGCTGAGTTTTTTTTTGTTTGCTTTTTTGTTTCTCAATCTTATACGATCTCGTGCCATTAGCATTGATCAAACTTTTCAAAATATTGTGGCCGCGAGGTGGAGCTATAGATTAATATACTAATTACCTGCTGCTATGCTCATATAAAAATAAATGATTTTCTCTTCAACTATTAGACCACTCCATTTCATTTTTCCAAAGGTGCGTGGCGGTCAGTTAATATTATTTTTATCTTCCCTGGGTCGCTAACTCATAACTTATGTTGTGTTTGAATGTAACCTGCGCTTTTACGTGGATTTCCCGATGATACATTTTGTCGAAGTCGGACTCAACAAGCGGTTCACGGTCCTGTTAACACCTTCTAATCTCTCTGAACAAGGATTTAGACAAGCAGCGACACTGCTGATATTGAAAGAACCAGAATATTTTCTGCCAGACCTGGCCAACCGGATTCTTCTCGTATTGGCACTATGTGAATTTTATCCCGTATTCATATTCTACAATGGGCCCTTTCCCCCTATTATATACGAACCAAGATGGCGGACACCGGAACGTAGTATGTGTACCAGGTTTGGGTTGGGCCATAATTTGATTCCAATTTTTTCTTATTTCAGTTCTACTACAAGTTTAGGAACTAGCCAATTGACACCCATAGGATCTATATCTAAAATGATGGCTTAACCTGGTACTTATACTACGTTCCGCCCTCCGCCATCTTGCTTCATATAACTACAGGACTTTCCTACAATGTGCCATGCTCGGGATTACTCCTAGAAAATTTTGTCGTATTTGGACAATTTGAATAGAACTGTTTTTAAATTCCAATTCTCCGATTAAGCTAATTTCTTAGTTTTCTGAGAAATACATTTAACTCATCATATTCAAAATAAATCGATAACGTTTTGCAATACAATTTTATCCACACAAAGTAGCAAATAATATTTTTGCACTGAAAGTTCAAATTATTTTTCATGAATTTCATTTGTTAAGTTCAATTCGTGAAAAATAATTTGAACTTTCATTGACAAAATATTTTGCCGAAAAATGATAGGATTCAGAAACACATCTAAGAAATAAAATACCGGAGTGAAGTAAATAAAATAATAGTATATCACCCTAATTCACACACAAGAAAAATGAAAAGCGAAAAAAGTTTTCGCCTTGTTTCGATAGCCATAGAGGGAAGGTGTTACGAAATATAAAACTTGCTTATTTTAAGAAAAGACAATGCTGTAATTTATTTCAACTTTGATAAATTTCTAACATTTTCTTATATTTCAAGTTACACTGAAATTTTGGCGTTTCAAAAGTATGTGCACCAAGATGACGCACAACCTGAAAACCCCAACCTGGTACACATACTATGTTCAGGTTGTGCGCAATCTTGAAAAAAACACCCAAATTTCAAGTTATTGTGAGTTTTTTTTAACTATTAGATAACCAGGAATAAATATGTTTGGAAAAAATAAGTTAACAGCGTGATTCAGAACAATTCAAAGATATCATATACCACAGCAAATATAATAAAAAATATCATCAATCCTTATAATTCACACTAGAGCTAAGATCTGGAGCCCGAGCCCCTGCCCGACCCGATATTTCGAGTCGGGTCGGGCCTGAAATATCAAGCATTGCGTTCGGGTCGGGCCTATATTGTTAATCATTACGTTCGGGCCGGGTCTAAAATGTCAAACATTGCGTTTGAGTTAGGTCGGGCCCGAAAAGTCAATAATTGCGTTCGGGTCGGGCCTGATTTGTCAATCATTAGGTTCGGGTCGGGCCTGAAATGACAATCATTACGTTCGGGTCGGGCTTATATATCGCTGGATTTTCATTCTAAGTTAACAGCGTGATTCAGAACAATTCAAAGATATCATATACCAGAGCAAATATAATAAAAAATATCATCAATCCTTATAATTCACACACAAGAGAAATAAAATACAAAATTCATTGTAAAGAGGAGACAATGCTGTAATTGATTATGATACCTTCTTGAATTTTTTATATTTCCTTCGGGTCACAACGAAACTTAAATTTAAGGAAAATCGAAAAATATGTCAAATTTAAATATAAAAGACAAGATAAAACTCTAGACTCAACAGTTGGGTAAATCAACCTAATATTTGTGAAAGATTTCACAGAAAAATCTTCTAAGTAATGTGGTTTTTCTATCTGGATGGAATATGTGGACCTAGGAATTTATATAAAAAGATATGGGTCTTAAAATAACAATTATTATGTGCTCTTGAACTTATGTCAAAACTATGTGCAAAATCAACTTTGGAAAATTCGCCCCATAGGAAATTTTGCCGCGTACGAAAAATCGCAAAAGTATCAAGTATTTATGATTAAAACAGTCAGGTTTATAGGGTTAGAGTATGCTTTTAAATAACGAATCTTTTTTTAAATGAGTGGATTTTTCCTACGGTGAATTTTCCTAGAACCGTGCAAAATATTTTAGTCAAGAAAAATTAACAACAATTACACAGCTTTTATTTTAAAGTGCTTTTAATCGTGCGACAACCTTCTGAAAAGGTATTCGTCAATAAAAAGTTAAAATAGCAAAAACAAAAGAAATTCTGCAAAACAATGAAGGAAAGTAATAAAAAATCCATTCCGGTCAATGATGTTTGAATCAAAATTATTCTGAATCTTTGTTTTATGTTAATTTTTTTTTCAAGTTTCCTAAATTAATCTAATTTGCTTAAAACGATTCATCGTAAAATAACAAAACTCCACAAACTACAAGGCTGTTGCATAGGAGTTGAGCAATTCCCCCAAGATGAATGGGAGTTTGAATTTGTTAGAAATGCAGATTTTCAAAGTTTTCAAAATAAATGGAAACTTTCTTATAAATTCGAAAAGCATCATTCTACTGAGCGTTCGTGACTGTCTATTAAAGAAAGTTTGCATTTACCAAAGGTTTCATTATCAAAATCAGATTTCAGAATTTTTCCAGAGTCGATTGTGATTTTTATACGATTTCACAGCCTTATTGATAAATCCTCAATGAAAATATCTGAAGACGATGTCTTTTCATTATTTTAGAAACTTTATTTTCAAAGATTTAGAAGTTACAGATACGAAGTCGTTATTTAGTAAGTATCAAACGTTTTTGTAATTTACTGAAATTTCTTGATCATGGAATATATATTTAAATAAACCAAATCGCCAACATTTCAAGAACATTTACATTCACTCAGATACAAATTGGGTTAAAACAATAAATTCAAAAATTTCTTGAACACATCTAAGAAATAAAAAAATAGTTTGTCCGGTAGAAATCTAACAATGAATGCAGTTTTATTGGAATTCCTACCCAAGACGACAGACACACAATTTGAATAAGTTCGCAATTAATCGCATCGTTTCAACATACATACTTCCGGGGTCAAAACCCCCTCTTTTAAATTTTTTTAAAAACTGAAAAAGTCGTCAAAATAAAACCGTAAACAATATAGGTTTTGTTAAGGGTCGCGTCAATCTCAAAACGCATTTCCAGTCATTGAAAACCGCAAAATTTCGTGTGCCTGTACTGCACAGACTCTTGTTTGGTCGGCGTTTACAAACATATCGTCCATATAATCGAAACACGGTTAATTGTGGGCGATATTTGCCTTTTTATCTATTACTTTAAAATTGCCGTCAAAATTTTTTGTGTTGAACAAGGTTGAGAACGCGACATCATAATCAATCTGGAGTATATTTGATCAATTTTTATTGTACGGAAATAAATTTCGCTCCGTGACATTTTACACCAGATGTACGGATTTTTTGAAAAGATTTATCTTTAAAAATAATCGTAGCATTGCGATTGAGCGGAGTCAGTAATACAAGCACATCTCTAATTTGTCAAATTCTCAATATAGAAAAAATACGAATCAAAACAATATATAATCGGGCAGTTTACCACACGTTTTTATTTTCATGTCCGCGGATTGCCGTGGTGTTTTAGGGGGGCTCTTGTTTTGTCGACGCAACCGCAGGTTAAATTGAAGACAATTAAATTAAGAAAGTGAGAGTCTTTTCATTGATAAAGTCGGCTCTTTGAACAAGTGGCGCAATCGCGGCGGCTGTTCGGCGTGGATTTCGAGACGATGAATATGTATTTTTGATTTACTGGTATACTTTATATATATTTCCTATGTATGAAGTAACATTGTACTATACGGGATTTTATATCAGATTTCGAGATTTGCCAACGGCGATTACGATTTCGCAAGATTCCAAAAACACGAATCAAAACTAAATACATCAGGCAGTTTATCTCATATATTTATGTCTACAGATCGTTGTGGTATTTTACTATAGTAATGTTTTTTGAAGTCGCAACCGCGAGTTACGTTGGACACAATTAAATCAATATATAAAGACATTTAAGAATCTCGTAGTTGTCATGGATTAAATATTTTACACGACAGAAAAATTATTATGCGCTGGAAGAGCGACTGTTTTAAGGAGAGCGTAATCGCGGTGACTGTTACAGACGATAATGGAAATTTCCGATTTTGAAACCCCCTCTTTTGAAAATCCTGGCTGCGCGCCTGAGTCGGAGTGTAAATTAAGCTGTATGTGTGGCTAACGAATATTCGGGAATACAAGAGCAACTGCTTGTTCAACTGTGGAAATAGTAATTAAGCTACTAGGGTGAATAACAATTACTCTCAAACTCAAGTAATTCTACAGTTTTTGTTTATCAATCATTCAATAAAGTTATAATTCACTTTCACAGATGGCTCCCTGATATTCAGAGGAAGGAGGAACATTAAAAATCCCTTGAATGCTTTCCGGGTTAAAAGCGACAAAAAAAATAACAGTTGTGAACGATGGATCGAGATAGGGAGAACTAGGAACCCAAACCTCAGTTGGCAGAGACATAGCTTGACCTGTCGTTGAATACAGCTGACCGTTCTGTGAAATAAAAATATGTTTTGAGAAAAATAACAAATGGCAGTTTGAGAATATAGTTGAAACAGTAATACTTGCCATATGATCTGACAAAGCAAAACAAAATTATTTGGTTGTCGGTAAGAAACTAAATGAAGCGTGACACCATCATGTGATTATTCTGCTCAGTCACACTTCAGTGATTACCGTTGTTGGATATGAATTGAATGAAATAGACACATAAATCAAATTAGTTTGGATTAGACTTCTCTGATTCAATATCAGAGCTGTAAAGTTGAAGCATTGGTGTTGGAGTCAAATTGTTGATAACCCGGAAACATTACATGGAAACGAAAGTTTGTGGTTGAATTTAAAATAAAAACTGGAAAACGCTGGCAAACAAACTTTTTAAATTTGTATGAAAGTCAAATTTGATATCAGCTTGGATTAGTCAGTGTTATGAATGGCCCGATTTGAACTTCTCTCCTATGCTAAAGCTATATGAATTTAACCTCAAGATAAAATGTAATAGTAGACTAGTAGTACATGGTAATGCAGAAGCAATATCGACCACATTTTATAATGATTTCATGTATGGCCGCACAAGCAATATGATTCAGACTCGATCTACCTTGTAAGTCATTCCCGTACGAACATAAATGTATGACCATCCATCAGGAATCATTGATCGTAAATAATCTAGAAGCAGGTTGTAGTGTGTGACATCATAAATGTTAGCAAGTTTGTTTTCGCAAAGAGATTCAGCGACGCTTAAAGTGACATTCCAAGCGTCATAAACGATCGCTCGAAAACATCTGGAATTATAGACAACGCCGCATTCTGAAAAAAAAGTGACATTCAAAATAGTTTGGAGTCAGATATTTAAGAAACAATTATTGAGAAGAATATTTATTTCTACGTGTTACTGAATAACCTTCATTCTTTTTATTTACAACAGTTTTCTACAATAATATGATTGTGAGCCTTCAGTAGTTTTGATCATATCTCATCATATTTGCTTCAAGAAAGGTCATGCGAACTCACTCAGAAATAAAGTAAACGTTTCTCCGAGGAAAGGCTTCGAGGAAGCGGCCACTGATACACACACACTCCAAGCAAGGGTTTGTGGCATTGTACAGCAGCATTGTCTACCCCAATTTATCACCCTGACGGAAATAAGGTTTGAACCCGAGAATATCGGAGAGAACATTTAATGTTCCAACAACTTTGGCATTGACAAAATAAATCTTAATATACCTACCTATGGTGGACGTATCTTTCGTCACTAAATCGAAACACGGTCAATTGTGAGCGGGATTTACCTTTTTATCCATTACTTTAAAATTGATGTTGAGAATTTTCGTGTTAACATTAAACAAAGCTGAGAACGCGACTTTTTCCCAGTTTGTGATGATATATAAGATAATTAAAGTATATTCGATCAATATTTGTATTTATTTATGTATTTTTATTGTACTGATATAACTTTTACTACGTGAGAATTGACAGAAAATTTACGGATTTTTCGAAAGGTTTTATCTTTAAAAATAATCGGAGTGACAACATTGCGATTGAGCGGAGCCAGTGTTACAAGTACATCTTAAATTTATCGAATTCGCAAAATAGCAAAAATACGGATCAAAACAATATATAAACGGGCAGTTTACCACACATTTTTATGTTCGCGGATTGCCGTGGTGTTTCAGAGTGGCTCTTGTTAGGCTTACACGTAATTTACGGATTTACGTAATTATTTGGAGTTATGGAAGGGAAGTTACGAATTACGTAAAGTCGTAATTATTGCATTGAAACGAGCTTTCTTCAAAGCAGTCAATTTCGTCGATTGCGAAAAATGAAAGCTCAACAAGTAGAAGAAGTTAGAGTTCCGGTATTCGCAGCCGTTTTTCTTTTTTTTCTCTCTCTTGTTACGTAGGTGAAGGAAGGCATGACGCGTTGCCATTTACTAACCTATTATCAACTTCTCTGGCATGGCCAATGTAAATTATTAACGTAGTTAGGGGGGAAGAACCGAGTAGGGCCGTT